TCAGTGCACCTAGGCGTTGACCCCATAAACCAGTGCTATCTAACTTGGCTTTTCAAAATCTGCCATAACCATTTGGACCTTTTCTCTACATATATTGGCGCTATTGTTTTTAGCAAATTGTGCTGATTACCCACACCTTAGTCTTGATCTGTGACGAAATATACTTGTCAGTGAGTGCTGGTATTTTTATAGTTATTGAGTGACTTTGTCGTGACAATGTTCAGGATTCAGAATTAAGCGCAATGCTGCTTTTTATCAGCCCTGTCGATGGGAGGTAATGTCACCCTGAATAAGGAACCACTCCCACCAGATTGAAAAACTTTACTCAGGAAAAATTTATATTTGCAGTGACACTTATTGTGGGTAAGGATCACTACATTATTGGTGTCCATTTGTGTAAGTCTTTAGCTATGCAGAGACTGTGCTATGCATATGCAGAATGCTGATTTGTTTGAAAAGTTGGGCTCAACAGGAAAGGAAACGACAGCGGAGTGCACTACGAACCAAAAGAAGAGCGAAATAAGCACAGTTCCACATAATTTTGAAGCTGCCCTCTGGTGACAATACTCAGCTACAACACATAGAACAAGGATTGCTAGGCTCTGTGTAGCACCTGCGGACTACAAACACGCTGGGACCTTCCTAGCCTGCCTTTAGGTAATCAGCTGGATTGGTGTGTGATCACTGCAAATGGTCCTAGCACATGATTTCCAGAATTTTAAACTTGTGAAACCATTCAGTGACACTCTGTGCATGATTGACATCCCAGAAGAGACCACTTCCCCCAGGATAAAAAAGAAAAAAGAAAAAATCATCAAAAAATAAAGTTAATTACTCTGAATTTCTTATTTGAGGTAACCTTTTCCTTTAGTGGCACAAGCAGACTCAAACTATGTGAGCAAAGTGCACCTCCATGGCATTACAGAGTCACCAGATCCAGTCGTATCCCATGAGGTGAAGTTTTTCCCCCTTTAATCTGCCATGTTTCTATATGGATACAATGTTTTTTTCCCCCTCAGCTTCTAGCCTTATTACTGGATCAGTGGAACAGATGAAGGCTGAAAATAAGTGGTACTTTATTTAGTATGAGCTGAGTATGTAACTGTATCCTGGAGTTTTATTTTAGGGGAGGGAGTTCATCCCAAACTCTATCCATGGTCAGAAGATAGAAGTCAGAAGTTAGTTACATGCTCTGGTGAACATTGGCCTGGGGTCATGTGATGGGTTTTAATGTCACTTTGGTTTAATATAAGAACTGATCTCTATCAGGCCTGAGTTGCATGCTGACTGACCAGCAGGGCTCAGTGAACAGGCAGAAAGCTGAGGAGTTGAAAGTGTAGAGACCACCCTCCTGTGGTATTTCACACTCAGCCGTGGATATAGGGGGTGGAGGATGGGGCACTCAGGAATGTGAAACAAGTCAAGGGTATGTGTCGTGTACATCCACTACCGAGAAGAGGAGTCGGCAGTCTTGTGCCAAGACCATGGCACAATCACAGCCATGGCATGTGCGCTTGTTTACATGTCCTGTTGTTAGCAGGTGATGCTTTATCCAGTTTCTGAACTGAAGGTGTAAAAAGGTCACCTGAAGTGTAGTTAGATTACTTTTTCTGATCCTCGTTGTAGTGCTCTACAAACAAATGCAGTGATTTGAAAGGTTAATAAGGTGTTTAAAAAATGCAGTGACATATTTTTCTTTGTGCAGCTTTCACTACTTGTTTGCTGTACTCGTTCTGTGTGCTTACACGTGTAGATCAGTTTTGTGAAGCTGCTGTTTTTTCACTTATCTAAATTAATCAAAGTAAACCAAGTGAAGGAAATGCCAGACTAAAAGCAATTTTGGTTTACTAACTATGACAGAGACTAGCTTGGCACGTGTTGTAGTATGTTTCTGTTTCATCTGCGGGGTTGATTAACTGAGACTGCTGAAGTGAGCCTTTTCTTTCTGGCTCTCTTATCAGGTTTTGCCAGTTTATTATTTGATTTTGAAAACAACTCATGGCCTACTAATTGTATATTTGTCAACACTCCTGCTCCACATAGAATCCCTCATGTGTACACAAAGAGAGTGAAAGAGGTCAAGATGAAGGGGTTAAATGAATGGAAGGAGAAAAGGAGACCTTCTGTTTCATGGTTGCAGAAAAACAAGGTTTCCACTTTATTTAACAGAGTGTTAAACGTGTTTACCCTCAACAAATCAGCTCCAGGTATTATTGTCACTAATAGTAAAAACAAAAAACCACATACCGTACCGTACTTTAAAAAAGAAAGAAAGAAGATTTTCTGTGCTTTTTGTGCTTTTCATTTTTTTGCCATTTGTTTGTCCTCTCACAGATGCATTTTTCCAGACACTTTTAACTCTTTTTACCCTGTCTGGAACACACATGGTGCTACAAATAAACATGTCTTGATTTATAGACACACACACACACACACACACACACACACACACACACACACACACACACACACACACACACACACATCACACGTGCAAGCACTGTCTATGATCACTTCCACACTGTGCAGGCATGATCATAAAACAAGCAACACAGCCCACAGACTGTTGATTCCTGTGACTCTACATTTCATGACTCCAGAAAAATGGTGTCATTTATAGCCGTGGATCCATTCAAGCTGGTGGGCATAATTACCTGTTAGCGCGTTACTTGGAAGGTTTGTTCTTCGATGTGGCTTTTAAGATCTAATGTGGTTTTTAAAGATGAACCCATTACTGGTTATTATAGGGGCCTCATGTTGGCCCTTGGTGCAGCTTCCTTCCGAATACATCTCTTGTGCCAGATGTTCTGTGTTGAATTCAGATTCACATGGATAATGGTGAGAAAGAGAAGACTGTATCTGTCAGTTTAAATGATGAAGTTAGATTGCAAAAATGTATGGTCCCCTCTTTGAATTTATAATTTTTTAAGGGAGGAAGCTAACCTCTGTGGTCATCAACCGTGTCAATAGTGCCACTGAGATTATATTTTATTTATTGCAATCACAGTCTACACTTTAAGAACAGGCAAAAACACACACCCAACAGCAATGTGAATCACTTTTTTGTTTAGTCATTCAGCTGAAGTAATCCATCACTGGGCATTAATGAAACAAATTTGCAGGATGTGGTGGAGAAGTGTCAACATAACATTGGGCGGGGAGCTTTTGCTCTGAAAACTCAGGCTAAGCCTAGGGGAAATTCTGTTTTTTGTGGGGTTTTTTGTTTGTATGTGTTTTTTTGAAAGCCACAGTTTGAAATGCAGCCAGTTATTTCTTTGGTACCCATCAGCAAACCTTAAATTCTGCGTAACATAAAACAATACTTTTAACACATTTTTAACCAAATATACATTTGGCCACTTTATCCCTTTCTGTCATTGCACTTGATGCATGCCATAATGCTTTGCAGCAAGGTGTGGTTTCAGCTTGAAACACTGGAAATTATAGAGAAATGTATAATAACCAGTCTAATTTTGTTTAGTAGCTACAAACAGCGTTTGGCTGTTTTTAAAAACAAACCACCTTTTATTGACGCCTTCTAGATAAAAGCTTATTTATTTAGCTCACAAAAATGAATTAAAATTAAGACCTCAAGCAGTCTGGCTGCATAGCTCGTATCTGCCACTCAGGGTTTCTCAGTTTTTCCACTGCTTGATTTAATGTAGGTACTGCCATACCTTGACTTCTTTCACAAAGGGGAAAATCTCAGAAGCAGCAATTAACAGCAAAAGAGAGGAAGATGCATCTAATGACAACAATTCCCATAACACAGATCTCACCACTGGATCCAGTTTACCTTTTAAGAATGCTGGAAATACTTCTTTGAACTAATGTAGTTTTAAAATTGGCTTCAGATAAAGTCAGCCTAAAAACACAGAGACAATCCTGCATCAGTGCCTGCTCTCTGTTGTTATTTAGGTACATTTGTTCCTGATGGTGACCGATTTCAGTCATTTTATTTTAGCTACTTTTGGAAGAGCATACGACAGATCCCAAGCTACACCCACTTTCTCTCTGTCAATGCACCAAACACTCTGTACCAGGCATTGACACAGCGGTGTATGACGCAAACCTGCAGGGAGGAAGGGTTCAACAGCCAGCTGTGGTGGGGTTGAGGCTTGGCAGTTCCTGGGGTGAAACAGCAATGAAAGGCCTTGTTCTTTTCTGTTAACCTCAATGGGCTGCCCTCCATCTGAGCTGGAGGTGTGGACTTGTGAGGCAGTATGGTGGGAGTGCGTATAAAGGGGGGTGCCATCCTGCCGTCACGGAGTCTGCCAAGTACAACATTACAACAGTAGTGGGATTGTGCAGTCTGTGTATTTTTTTTCTGTCCCTATGAGCAGGAAAGGTTTTGCTCTCCTTTCCATCTTTCCCTTGTCTCTACCCAACCTACAACACTTTTACTTCATCAGACATCTCACCTGTTTGAGTTCAAACCAGAGCTCTAGCTCTCGAAGGACAGCCAAAGAGCATTGCCCCTCACCAGTTTGGTATTCATCAACCACTACATTCAAAAAGCCATTGATTTGTATTAACCTTTTTTTGAAATCTCAACTAGTATCACACAGATCGGATTTTTTGGTTATGTTTTTTCTTAAAACTCGTTTGATTTAGCATCTTGGCAGTTACGGTAATTTGTACACCATTAATTATTAATGTGGTACTACTGTAGAAATACAACTTTTTTTTTTGTCTTGAAACAGCTGAGTACATGAGGTTTACTTGTCAATGATGAGCGGGTATGCAGAGGGAAAAAATTAGAAGTCAATTAGTTGAAAACATCAGTGTCAGACTGGTGGGAGGCCAGAGTGTTAGACAAATCTCCAGTGGCTCTGCCAGAAATATCACAACATCCTGGACCTGTCAATAAGATTAATTCCAGAAAAGGTTGCTTCTTAAGGCAGTGGAAATGAAGAGTATTCTTTTGTTAGCACCTCTCATCTGGAACCCAAGGACTAACGTCTGTTTTTGTTCTGTGTTTCTGTCTCTGTCTGTGTCAGCTAATTGGCTACAATGAGAAGCCCATCAACCTGCAGATGTTCATTGGAACAGCAGATGACCGTTACTTGAGGCCGCACGCCTTCTACCAGGTGCACCGGATCACTGGGAAAACCGTAGCCACAGCCAGCCAAGAAATTATGGTCTCAAGCACCAAAGTTCTCGAAATTCCTCTCCTCCCTGAAAACAACATGTCAGCCAGGTAAATGTCAAGACCACTTCAGGGTTGCATTACTTAGTTATGAGTTTACCACCATGAAGGAAGTCATGTCCAATGAAAAATAACCTCTTTGGAAGATATTACAACTATGTATAATCATAAAAGGGGATTTTTTAGATTTTCTTAATTTAAACCAACAGGAGGGTCGGGGGCCGAAGGAAAATTTGAGTGTTTCCCATGGAGCAGAGAACCTAATTTTATTAATAAATTTAGGATCCCTATAACAGCAGAATGATTAATTTATATAAGACCTGGTTTCATTTACATTGGAATTAATGGGAAGGGATTTTGTCATTTACACTTGTAATAAATCATATTCACAGGCATTTTTAATTTCAACAGTTTGAGCAATTACAACCCGGCTTCTTGTTGCCAATCCCCTGCTGGGCTTGTGGTTGGTTTTTATCACTCCTAGGCCTTTACTACTTAAATATGTCTTAGATGCTTGCTATCCCGGTGGTGCTGTATTGGGCCAACTATTTTCCCATTACCCTGCAGTATCGACTGTGCTGGCATACTTAAGTTGCGGAACTCAGACATTGAGCTGCGGAAGGGGGAGACGGATATCGGAAGAAAGAACACACGGGTCCGCGTGGTGTTCAGAGTGCACATCCCTCAACCCAATGGGAAGGTGCTGTCGCTGCAGGCTGCCTCCATTCCTGTGGAGTGTTGTGAGTGTCTGCTTCCTAAACTCAGCTTACACACATAAAAATATTCATTCAGAAAGCCAGAACAGGAAAGATACAAAGATAGAAACACACAAACCTTCTCACATACACACTTGTTTATTAGCAAGCTTGCAGCAATTTAAGATTTGATCTGCTGTGGTTACTTTAGATAAGAATGTTTGATAACTGTTAAAAATGTAAATGTGCTCAGTTTTTTCTCTTCCCTTCTAGCCTGGTTATCTATAAAGCTACAAAGACCTACAAAAATATATAATACATAATTCTTCTTTTATACGTAGGATTTCAGAGAGGTTTTAAATCTACAGTCTGTTCTATCTTTATGTTATACCTTATATAACATAAGGTCACTTATAATACAGCTCAACAAATAACCATTCTCTCCTCAACCCTTTCTATCCCACTTCCAGCCCAGCGGTCAGCTCAGGAACTACCCCAGGTGGAGAAATCCAGCCTGACCAGCTGTCTGGTCAGCGGGGGAGAAGAGATGGTCATCACTGGTGCCAACTTTTTCCCAGAGTCTAAGGTCATCTTCCTGGAGAAAGGCCCTGGTAAGTTTTGTGTTCGCACAGCAGCTTAGCCTTGAACCACCCCTGCAGAATTAATGCGTGCCAAATGTGTGTGCAAAAATATTTCATGCTTTTTACAAGCCACCATGAGTAAAACATTAAATGTGTCATTTCGATCTGTATAGTTTTAGTCACAGACCAAACCTACTCTTCTATCATTTACAGTGGGATATTCTTCCCGGTGAGATCATATAAACCCACGTTTTATGCATTATTGCGAGAGGTCTTGTGCTTATTCTGCATTTGTATTACACATTTTCTGTGCTGTTACTAGACCGTGACCTCTGTTTTCTCGAAAAAAGACAATATCGGGAGAAATCAGTATATATTACAAAAGCGTAAAATTATTCCTGACTTCTTTTAACAGTGTTGTTAATGTTTCTGCGTCACTTCTCAGCTACATTCACAGCTATCATTATATTAGCCTCAGGGAATTTCTTGTTCCAACAAGCTAATTTGTTAAATTCCAAACAGGTTATGTGAGTTGGTTAGTTGTGCTTGCAGTATTTTTTAAACATAATAAACATTTTAAACATAATTTTTATTAACACTTAAACAATTAGTACATCATCATTCGTGCTTATGTTGCAGTTGTCACTGATTTGATCTTTGTTTAAAAATAAAAAAAAAGAATAATATCAATGCTATAATCTGCCACAATAAGTGTTATTGCGGCAGATTATAGCGTTGATATCATTCTTTTTTTATTTTTAAATAAAGATCAAATCACTGCAGCAGGACCCCACCCTCAAACTGTTTGTTTTGTTAATCACCCATCCGTTATATACTCAAACACTGTAATTGAAACGATTAAAATGTTTAAATTATTTTTGTGCAGCAAAGTGATTTTTGTAATGTTGATGGCATGAAAAACACCTACAGACTCAAGTGTACAATACATGCCACAGTTAGTTTAGTCCGTCATCTGTCAGCAAACATGAACTGCTAAAGCTAAAGAGCAGTGGAGATGGGGACATCTCTGCATCTACAATAATGACAATCAACTGGGCTTGCATTTGGTATGCAAGTGACAAAAACTTGCTACACTACTAAATAATACTGGTGTCGTGTAAAGAGTATGTGAGTGTGGGGAACAAGATGAATGTAAAATTCTATAACGAAAATGTATTAGTTTAATAAATACTAAAGATTCCCTTGTGGGATTGATAGTGTCTATATATCTATCTAGGCTGAAAAAAAATACTCAGGATATAGCTACATCCAGATCATTTTGATTTAAAGCATGCAACTTTTATTACCTTTGCCTCAGCCCTCACTAATCTGGTATTTCAAGACCCACTAAATGACTTTAACCAAAAGTGATTCTGGTCTGAGTTTAGTTTGAAAAATCCAAGATTGTGGCTTAGTCTGTGCAGCAAGAAACTGAGACTTGTTCAGACAATTGCACAGGTCTCGTCAGTCTTAATATAGCCATGATAGTATAGCTAGGCACACATACTGTACATTGCTTGATTTCACCCTGCGTGTGTAAGTCCTCTTTTTTAAATGCCATTAGTACACTTCCACCTCATTGTCTGTCCAAACAAAGAAATCTCTGGTCTTTTTGTTATTGCTGTTCATCTACTGTAGTATTTATTACATAAACCAACCCTCTGATTCCTGATTTACTCATGCACACACTTTGCCCCACATTTAGAAAGAGAGCTTTTGCATTTAAAACATTGTTTTACAATGAAAACGCGTTGTACATGTAGCCTCAGTTAAACCCCCATGGTATTCATCCAGTCTCTGTTAAGTGGGCCTCTTTCTCTTCCTTATCCTTTCTCTTTTATACATGACTCTATAACAACAAATATAATAGCTGTTACTTGGGATGGAAATTTTAAATGCATGAGTTTTGTTGAGCCAGTCTCTGCTTGCCTGAGGCACTTTTGTGATGAAGAGCTACAGAATCAAGTTCACACACGGCAGAAAGGTTGAGTGATGTTTCTGTGAGTGAGTGAGTGAGTGAGTGAGTGAGTGAGTGAGTGAGTGAGAGGCATTCTGGAAAAAAAAAATTAAGGACAAAAAAAGCTGCCTGGAGGAATGTGTTTAGCTCTTTAAGGTGTACCAGGTGAAGCATAGCATAGAAATGTGGAAACCTTCAAGAGGCACATCTTGGGTAGGGAGAAAAGCTGGTGCATGAACGCAGTGGACTGTGGAAGAAAAATATGAAAGGAGAGAGGGCAATAATGTTGATTGGGTTTGTGTAAACGATCTACCTGATTATGACTAATCCGCCTGCTTTTAGTGCAGAAAAACACTGATTGGAGTAAGTATTGGAATGGAAGAAAAAAGAGAGGCAATGACAGATATTTTTCCACGGCTTCTCATAATTGAGGGACAACAGATTTATGAAAAACTAGAGATTTGCCCACTGTCACTCTTACTTACATTGCAAGATGCTACTAAGTAAGTTTACTATAAACGGATACAGATCCAATCTATATCTGAGTTGGAGTGAGAGCCTATTAAAGCAGATAGATGTTTAGGTTTGTTAGGTTTTGCACAGTTTTAGTATGAATCTTGTTTTTTGTTAATTTAATGCAATATACAATAATTGGAGATGGAAACACAATTACACTAATTTACACATATGTATTTGTTGTTGCTACTCTTTGTCAAATACTGATGTTAAACTGAGTCCATAACTGGTATGAGTCAGTTTTTACAAGCATGACTGTTTATAGAAGGGGTTTGACTTTAAAGGCTACCTTGAATTGTTTCAAATACAGCCTGGTTACTCCAGTGTTTCAGCTGTAGCTTCTTAAAAAGAAAAAGCCCACAGTTGCAATATAAAAAGCAATCACCCTTTATATTTTTATTCTGTCTCCCAGCACAATCAGAGCATGTTCTTTCCCTCTGTCTGGAGTGTGCAGGGTGTCTCGATGAACCGAGTTATTGTCTCGGTGGTGGTATGAGGCTCCTGTCGAAGCTTGTTGTCTGACAGAGCATGTGGGGCCCTTGCTGCTGCCTGTTGAATGTCAACATGCTGTGCTGCTGTAATGCACTGCTGTCGGCTTCAAAGGCATTCAAGGTCATTTTCTTCACTGAGGGGGAAAAAAATTCTCTTTTTATCAACAGGTTAAGCTCTTCTTTTGCAATCAAGTGAATCTGTCTTTTGTGCTTACTACAAGTAAGGCTAATGTTCTGTGTGATCAGAATACCTTCTAAAACCCATAGTTGATTTTGGTAGAATATGTTACAATGACTCTAAGACTGCCTCTTAGGCCTCTAAGACTGCTTAGTTTGCTGGGATCTACATGTAGGTTAGGCCTCTCTGCAGACTTGTTGCAGATGCCTGAAAGTGGTATTTGGGGGAATCCTTTGGTTTTTGTGGAAGAGGCTATGCAGGTGCACATTTTACTTGCACCATGTAGGCGCCCTGAAAAAAGGTTCTCAGAACCTTCACAGACATACGTCCTGAAAAAAGTAACTGCAAATTAACATAAGCTAAAAGGCAATTGAGTAATTTATTTGTCACAGTTCATATTCTTCTGAATGATGCAGTGACTGATTTCTTCCAGCCAGAGTCCAAACTTGTCAGTGTTTTCACCCCAGCTGCTTCCCTTCAAGCAGCTGCCCTCATAGGTGTCTGGCCAAATAATTAGATCCCTCATAGGAAAGCTGGAAAAGAGGTTTTCCAGCCAGAAACCTGGCACTTACTTATGTTAGAATAAATACAACTATTCCACTGCTTTCTCCATAATTTTAACCAGGCAAGACAAACAGCATGATATTTGGATTACTAAAGGCTCAGAAGCCAGATTTTCTTCGTAAGGCTTTTGGGCTTTTAAATCTACATCATTTTGACGTCTCCTGATATTCTGAGTAAACTGAAATTTTTACTTTTCCAAGACCTTTGGCTCTTTTTGAGCCATACTTAAGAAGGCTGAAAATACAAAGACTCTGCAAAACAAGTTTCAAAACAACTTACTTTAAAGTCTCTGAATTAAAGTGCTTTAGTCAGTAGTGATCATGTATAGCCTGCCGTTTTAGTTAGTTAATAATTTTCTCGCTGTATTTTATATCCCTCTTTTAGTGTATTTCAAAGTCGCAATGATTCAAGTTGTGTTTGGCCTGAAGCGGTATTGTAGTGATGCGATAAACTGATGCTGTCTGCTTCACCATTATAGCTTAGCCTCCATGATTCACGCACACAAGTTCTCAGTAAATTCTTCACCGAAACTCTGCTTCACTTTGTTGTTTTTAGCCGGGCTGCCACTCAGGAGCAGTTGATGATTTTTTGATATATTAGTATAACCTAATGTGTGCAGTTTCATTTTCATTTTGAGACAGTGCTGATGATTTCAAAAATTCAAAAACAAACTTGGGAGTCCCTTTTATGTGTATTCAAGAATTTTAACTTTGACATTACAATCTCTGTCAATCTAAAGTCTCTTGCTTCTTTATGCAGCCTTTTCCTTTTTTAAAAAAAAATTCTAAACCATTCGTTCCAGATGGACGACCACAATGGGAAGTTGAGGCAAAAATAATCCATGAGAAAACTCAAGGTGTAAGTAGTATTTATTTACTTTTATTTTTCTTTGACTTTGTAGTTACATTATGTTTTTTTTCTTTCCACAGTGCTTTTAACTTTGTGATATGTTTCATGACAAAAAGTCTCAATGTTTTTGTAGTCGTGCATTGTGGTGGAGGTCCCTCCGTACCACAGTAAGAGCGTGAGCTCAGCCGTGCAGGTGCAGTTCTATGTCTGCAATGGCAAGCGGAAAAGGAGCCAATCACAACGCTTCACTTACCTTTCAGGTGAGTTGAAATATTCTTGTGTTTTTTAACAGAGCGGCTAAGGGTCCTTAAAAGTCTTAAGAACAGATTGAGAAAGAAAGAGCTTTAAAAATGTATCTTAAATTTAGTTTTGAGGAGTTTGGGCCATTTCTGCACATTAAGATCACACAATCCATCAGGACTGTTAACACCATGGTATTTTTGGAGCAGACTAAAGTCTGATCCACAATCCAATCTAGGAAGTGAAAAACAAATATTAGATGAAGGTGATGATCATAGTTTACTTCAAGATTTCTGTTTAACCAGCATTTTTAGTTTCTACAAATGATACAGAAATGTATTAATTAGACCTGTAATTATAAATGAAAGTCTTCATTAGTCAAGACAGAATTCAAGGTGCTATTATGACTTGGTGACGATGTAAAAGGAAGTAGTGTTGCACAGGCTATTGGAATTGTTATGGGTTTTTTTATTAACCAAAAAAATCAGCATTATTCTAGTTACCTAATTACTTAATTAGTTACTGAGTTTAATTGATGTTTAATCTGATTTGATGGTGTTTTAGACTAAAGGACCACATGAGGAATTGGGCACATAGTGAAAGTAAAAGCATTTTACCTTCAGGTTGTGTCAGACTAATAGAAAATGTTCAGATAATACTGCAGATTGCACGTACTGTTGTAATACTAAATGTCTTGTAGCTTATCAAAGATTTTGTGTTTTTTGACGTTAATAAACGTATGTAAAAAAGCGTTTGAACATATTTGTAAACACAGATGGGCTTTTTTTAGAGTCTAGATTCATAATATCTATGAAGCGCCTTGAGGCGACTTATGTTGTGATTTGGCGCTATATAAATAAAATTGAATTGAATTGAATAACGTTTTTTTTTTCTTAATTAAGAAAGTACACAATTACTTCATTTAATATTTTTGCAATGTGAGATAATACTTTAAGCATTATTTGGCATTGCTCCACGCTTGTGTGACACCCCCAAGTTAATGACAAAAGTTTAAAACATCATGTTGCACGCTTCTCCACGGGGGCTTTGCTAACCTCGTTTCTTTCTTTCTCTCTCCAAAGAAAGCATTGCTGTGGTTTAGAGAGGGCTCTTCCACTAACAATAACATTAACACCTGCCAACTGTTTATTTTGTAAAGCTTTCTCAATCCAGAGCCAACCGTTTTTTGTTTTTGTTTTTTTTTTCTGACATGCACTGCATTTGCATGATACAGATCTTTTGCTATCCAGGAAACTTTTATTATACATTGAGTGTGAGTTACAGTGTGAAGTGTACTTATTTTTCTTAAAACGTTAAGGAACTCAGTCTTAACGTTTTATTGTTAAAGTTTCTTCAATATTTCAAATCCTTTTTCGGATCAAATTTATGTCTTGTTATTAGATATTGTTATTGTGTTTTTTTTTCCCTCATAAAGCAAGTCAAACTGAAAACATAGTTGGCGGAATATATTGACATGTGAGCATTTTGTGCAACACATCCAAACCCTTACTTTCACCGCAGCAGTGTGTATAATTGTGTTTGTGTGTGTGTGTGTTTATGTGTATAAGCAGCCTTGCCCATCCACCCACCCAGCCTTTCTGTTTGCAAGCACGCCCACTCTGCACAGGCAGTTCCTGTTTTCCCCGTTGACAGATTAGTTCAGCCAATTACAGCAGAGTAGAATAACCCTGCTCAGTCAGTCAAGATGGGTCGCTGACACCACTAGTGTCACCACGGACACCGCCTCCTTTATTGTGGCAAAAATAGAAAAAAGAAATCTGCTAATCAGTCGGTTTCATGTTTCATCGTGGGCTGCTGCAGAGGCCCTGGCCCAATTTAAGAATGTGTTCTGAGAAAACTTGGAGAAAAACTGATGAACAAATAACCTTTGTTTCTGTTTTGGTTTTTGAAATCGCTGCATTGTCATTCAGGTAACGGGGATAAATCTCACGTATTTGGACTAAATTTTTTATAAATTTCGGAAAATAAAAGATGAAAACATCTTGAGCTTATTCATATACTGTTTATATTTGTATTCCCTGGCTCCTTTTCAAGCCATTTCAAGTTTAAAAGCAACGTTACTGTGCCTCTTGCCTTTTAATCCCAGAAAGTGATTAAAAGCACAGTCAGTGAACTCGTTGGTTCTGTTGGTCTGATCCGGGCTGGGGGGCATTCAGCTCTTCTTCCCACACAACACTTCACATGATGGCAGCCAGACTGACAACATATGCTCTCTCTCTGATTCAGAGCTGGATAAAAATAAAACTCACTGTCACTAGGCACCAGATTGGGAAATAGGTTACTGATTGGCATAGCAGTGCTCTAAGCTGTCACAGTAAAAGGAAATGGCCCCATTTAGTATAAAAAATTTGGGAGGTTTTTTTTTTTTTAATTTTATATAGCTTTAAGGGTCTTTTAGTCTACTTTCAGCCTTAAACCACAATTCTGAGGAAACTAGTGGGACCTGAAAATGTGGAAAAACTTAAAAATGCAACTCACTTTTGTAGCTGGTTTAGGTCCTTGGACTACTGTACCTGAAGCAAAAATAGCAGTGATATTGTTGATACGGCAACACTCTGGCTTGATAAATGCATATATTGCTTTTATCTATGTTCTTGCTGTGTTTGGTTGGCAGACATGACTGACTGTGTGATTTTTCTCATTTCCCTTCCTCCTGTCTGTGTGTACCTCTGTCCCTTTAGTTATGGTTAAACAGGAGCACAGAGACGAGCTGGACCTTCCTGCGGTACCTCCTATTTCCATGCCCCGGGCACCTGCTGGCAGTCTGGTGCGCACCCAGCTGCCTTCTCCTGAGCTGGGCCACCCATCGGATAACCTTCTGTCCAGCTCCCCTCATGGCCTGGCCACGGGCTCCGGACCTGGCCTGCTACCCGTGCAGACCCCCTGCCCCTCCCTGGGCTCCCCATCTTTCCAGCACCTGCCCCAGCTCCAGGGTCGCATTTTGCATCACCCCCCTGCAGACTGCCAAATGACGTACCACCCGAACTCTGCTCCCCTTTCTGTTCCTCCTCATTCTTCCTACCAGCCCATGCAGCACAGTCATGGTCACAGCCTGCCCTTCAACGGCCAGCCCAGCCTTTCTCCTCAGGGCTATGAGAGGATGCCATTTCAGCAGAGCCCCAGTGCAACATCACACCCAATGGGCATGGGAATGTTGTACCCCTCCTCCCCTTGTTCCTCACCAACCGCTCCATCCTCTTCAACAACCAACCCCATTGAGGGTTCCCCACAGAGCCAGCAACCCCTCTTTCCTCCCTCATGCTCACATCTCCAAACGCTGGGAAGCTATCACTGCTCTCCCACCCAGGTGCCCTCCCCAGGTGGACACCCCCTAACAGGGCAGCACTCCACACCACTGCAAAGGGCCATGGGCTATCACCCAGTTAGTCAAAGATCAGCATCATGTCCCACAACGTCCAGCGCCCCTCCTCCAAGGATGGTGCCCTCTCCCCACTCTGGGCCTTCTTCTCCTCAGCTCCACTCATTGCCGTACCAGTCTCCCACCTCATCTTCACCCACCTCAGGCGGCAGCCCCCTGGGGCCACTCCAACAGCAACATTCAGGACAACTTTCTCCCCAGGCTACAAGCCCAGTCATGACTAGCCTTTCTCCGGCAGGAGTGGGGCCTCTGGTTCATCCTCTAAGCCCTCAGGGGCCCTTCCAATCAGATGGGGAGAGGCTGAGTATTAAACAGGAGCCAGAGGACAGGGAGCCCACCTTCCGCTCCATTGGCTTACAGGACATCACACTGGATGATGGTGAGATGTATGACCTTATATTCTTAAAACATTTCCTGTGGGTTTAGTTTTTATTGCCTAGGCTCAGTGGCTACTTTGTATTTTAATAAACAGTGAAACACGTGTAACCTTTGGGAGAAAGTTCAATGTTTAGAACTAGCTGCCTTTACAATTTTAACTGTCATTACGTAAAAAGAAAGAGCTGAACTCATTCAAATTTGACTGTCTTTCAGAAGTACCGGTAACACAAAACAGACAAAGCAGTCTGAAATAAAAAATTAAAGGTTGATGGAGTAATAGTGTAAAAATAGTAATTTCTATTTTTTTTTAAATTATTATTATTATTTTAACCATGCTTCTTTCTCTCTGCAACCCTGTTTTGTTCTGTGTGTAACTATGCGTCTTTGACTCTCACTCAGTTTTCTGTCAATCCAGCCTTCAACTCTCATTATCACATTTTCCTATCCTTTTACACAAGATATTTAGAGCACAACCATCTGTGATCAATCTCATTTTCAGTCTGAAACAAGGGACCGCTCAGGGATTAAATTTACCCTACAATATGTGACGCACAAGATAAATTTGTACCTGATGATGTAAAACAATACACAGCACCAGTTGTTATATTTTCAAGAGGCTGAAACCTTGATGCCTGATAACAGTGATAGTGTTTCATCTGTCACTGCAGTGCACAGTTGTGTACACAGGTTCATTACTGAGGGGTCTTGTGACTTCGTATTGGGTAACATAGACACAATAAGACTGATAGCTGTAGTATCGTATTAAAGGGTCTAATTGTGGACTGCAGAGCTTCTGTATCTGTGGCAGCAGTTTGGAGATTAATTACATTTTGAATGTTTTGGCTTCTTGGAGCTGAAGGCAGGGAGAGGATTGCATCATTTTGTGCTACTTGCAAAGACTGTGGCTGGAACACGACGACTACGTTTGTGTGCTGCTGCAGTAATTACATCCTGTGTGTGCTTGTGTGTACTTGAGCGTGTGTGTACCTGCACTAACAACTCTAATTAGCATGCTCAGAAGAACTTGTTGACTTAACAATTGACCATGAAGTCAGCACATGCATTTAGCACCTTTTTTTTTTCTCTCATCCATGAACTTCTCATCCTAAAATATGTTAATCCACACCGTTCTAAGTCACCTACCTCCTTATCTGTAGGTTGTGTTACCACTACTGACATATTCAAATGAGAGTTCTGAAGATTTAGGGTTAATAAGTAGCCTGGCAAGGCTATGTAAGGGAAGTGTGATACTGCGTTCTAGAAAGGGTCAGTCTCATTAACACAGCACTGCTCGCAGTAAGTCGTGTGAACAGCTGGTGGCGTTCTATAGTGCATAAAACTTAAGAATACATATAGCTATTCCCTTTTCACAGCCTCATTCATGTGCACACATGAAGTCTGTTTAGCTGCTTTTTTTTCTTCATGAAACTTTAGCGCAGTTTTATTCAGCCTCTGCCCCTGTCAAACACGGAGACACAGTCACTTTGAAAGTAGCTGCATGTACTCAATCTCTTATTTGAAAAAAAGTGTGAGAAAAGTTTGTGAGTGACACAGTTCAGACGGGAATGTAAGCTCTCCCTTTGAGCCTGTGGCTAAAAATAGCTTTCTGTGCCAGCCCAGCTCTGTAGGCCATGTTTTGAAGTAGAAATGTGGAGTTTTTACCCGGCTCTGAGTTTTAGGAGGTCGCAGCACACTCTCTTAAGTAGACCACATACACCCCAGTTTGGCAGACAGGCAGATCAGGATGAACACAAATTTTACCACAAGGGTTTATGAATTCATGAAGCGTGGCGATAAACCTGCATTCTGGTTTCATAATTTGAAAAAAAAAAATAAATCTAAAATTATGACTTTTGAACACTTGTACATAATTATCATTTGTTTTCTGATAAAATGCGTCTTGTGTTTAGAAGAGTTTGTTCTCAGACTGGTTTAATATAGACTCACTATTTTTGCATGGATGTCCATCACACTTAAGCTCAACTTTTGCTGTACTACCATAGACTGAAGTCGGCAATAGAAGAGGGAATACAAATGTGTAGAAAACTGCTCTGATTAGCAAGCAGATGGCACTTGTGACGCACACCATAGCATGCGCGAGATGTGTGTCTTGGTGCGTGTGTTAGGGAGAGATTGTGTGTATTGTGTTTGTGTGCATCTTTTTGATATTGTGGAGGTGTGTGTGTGTGTGTGTGTGTGTGTGTGTGTGTGTGTGTGTGTGTGTGTGTGTGTGTGTGTGTGTGTGTGTGTGTGTGTGTGTGTGTGTGTGTGCCTGCCCGTACAGAGCAGGAGACACAGGAGGTGAGAAGACAGACTGACAGACAGATGGACAGACAAGTCCTGAATCCAAACCCACTGCAGGGTCACTCAACTGAGACGTTCAATCTGAAATGTTCTTGGAATCTGAAATTAAATTGAAGTGTAAACTGAATAATTTAATGATTATGTACAATGTGTAATGCACATTTGAAATTTTCATTCCTGTCTAAACACAGAAGTGTATTTTTGGAGAAACAGCACTTAAGATGTATATAAAAATTACATAGATAACAATTGCTTCTTTGTGATACAGGGGCAGCCATGCTTTATTTTTATTAGGCTTTGCAGTGAAAGACCATAAGCCACAAAAGCAAAGAAGTATCTTCTCAATGTAAAAGCAACAAGAGATTTAACAGAGTGTTTCTAAAATGTGGAGCTTTTCTACTGCTTTGATGTCTGAATCAAAACAGAACAGAATATAATTGGGTGGTGTCTTAATGGAAAATGATCAAAGACACTGTTTTTTTATAACAAATTTGGTGTATAGAGCAAGATTTATCAGAACTTTAACCAGAAAATGAATTATAGTTTCCATTTAGGTGTCGTATACGTGATTAATAGGTTTATAATCCGTGAGATTGTCAGGCAGGTTTTCCAAGCATCTATAGATACACGTTTGTTTGGTGACTGTATGAGCATGGTAGCGGCTTAAAGAATGCATAGTGGTCATGGTGCCAGAGTCTGAAGCTGTTTTGCTGCCAACCTGTGCACTTAACTAATTAATCTGCACGTGACTGTCTTTATGTTTGCAGAGCACAGCTGGGAAAGAATAGCATGTGTGTTATTGGCTTTGTTTGCATGTGAGCAGTTGCTGTAGTGTCGACACTGCACGCAGCGTGTGTCCACAACAAAGCCGGTCTTTTGTCTGCGCTGCCCTGCCCAATTTCATAGCTGCCCCAAACTGTGAGCTATGGCTTTGAGGGTTAATATTAGGCAGAGCCCTGCTGCTTGCACTCCTCGAGGCAGAGACACTGGCACAGTAAAGACACAGAAACATGCACATTGAGCGACACGTATCATCCTGTGGATGTCATCAAATATGCCAGGCAGTGTCCATCTTTAAATATATGTTTTTATTGTTCTGTTTTTCTGTGTTTACAAGGAAAGAGACTACATACAAATGAAAAAGTTTCACCAGCTGTTGCTAAAAGGACAAAAAGCATTTTGTGGTGGAAGAAAAATCTTCACGTTGGGAGATTTAGTTTTTATTTTTTTGCTCCATCTTTGTTGGTCCACACAGATTTATCTGCTAAGCAACATTTTTGCACTAAAAAATGTTCTTGCTCGTTATCTAAAGAGCACCACTAATCTCTTCTTCTATGTTCAGTGTGATGGTGAATGCAGCACTAGGTTGGCTTAGCTTAGCTTTCATAATAGAGTTGGGTTATGGAGCAGCTAGACTGTCTATACCATTATGTGACAAAATCCACCCACCAGCTCAGTAGTGCTGCTTCACACATGCATACAGAGTTTACAGAGTTCAGTTACTGGGCCACTTCATGAAGTCTGCACTTAATGTCCAAATGAAAGTGATACTTGTTTCTTTAACAGAAAGATAATCTGCTGTTAAGTCATGTGTGAAGGTGCTAGCAGATGGATTACTTTCACAGAAAACAATTTTTTCCCGTTTCCAGTCTTTGTGAATTCACCAGCTGTTGTAGTTTCATATTAGCAGACAGAAATAATTTGGTATGTACCAGGTAATGAGAGGCATGTTATAATGCCACCGAAACCAACGACTTCCCATTTTGCTTATCTCTAAATGATAAACTGTCATTTGTTTATTTAAAGTCATTTCATGATGTGCATCCTGCAAATGATGTGTGCACCATGAATGCTACAAATAGCTGAGAACTGGAAAGTTTGTAATTAAAAAAAAAAAGTGGTGAACTGGCCACTGACCAAGTAATCCAAAAAGACTGTTTCTCAGCAGTTGGCCCTCCAAGGGGGGGAAAGCCAGTAAATATTGGATTTTAACTTTGAGAAATACAGCTACAGCTTTCTCTTAAATGAAATTAAACATAAAATTAGACTTTCAAATACCTTTTTGTCTTTGGGTCCTTTTCTAAGCTGTAATTCATTGATATTTTTTCTTGGAATGAAAAGTTAATTTGTCGAGTCGCCATCACAAACAGATTTAAGTCATTTGCAGAACATTATTTTTTTCATGAAAACACAGAAAGAAATTAGTTGTTTTGTGTGACAGTATGAAGTCTCTAACACATTAGAGTTAGAGACTTCATACTGCCATTAGGCAGAAGAATAACACGGATAACCCCAAACTCCTGATTTGCTGGCATAAACGCTGTAAGCAGTGAAAGGAAAATAGATTTCCATTAAATGCCACCGCTGCTCTTTAAAAACAATGGCAAACATTTGCTGGTCTTTTCCCCTCAAACAAGTGGAAAAGGACTTTCTGTGTCATCTTTCCACACAATTAGGGTCTTAAAGAGTTTAATGCAGATGTCTTGGCAGACGCAACCTGGTATGGAGACGGTGCCAGTTGCTGCATTTTTCGTTAGAAGAAGGGAAAGCCTAGAAGTCCCTCTGTGGTAATAAAAGTAGTTTAGCTCGTACGTTGTTTTTTTGTTTTGTTTTGTTTTTTTAAATATGCATATATGATATTATTTAGGAAAGTAGTACTGCTGCTTTTATGGTTAAGGTTTTTTCATTGTTTTTTTT